TCTGCCTTTGGGTAGTGGTAATCATCTGCACCAATCGAGGAAGGAAATAACTGGCTTGGCAGCAGCAGAGCAGAGAAAAATCTTAGTGAATCACAGGCTCTACATGAGTCAACTCTGTCACATGGTTGTGAAAAAGGCACACGTCATAGGAGGCCGTGTAAAGAGTTGCATGCTTCGTAAGGCTTCTAACTATTCCTCCTGCTCCCAGTGCCGGTAAGGCGTGGCTGGAACCCTTTCTTTCCCATTTTGGATGCTGCGTTTCGAGGAAGCTGTGGGTCAATAGCAGAGAGTCCAGGGAGAGCAGCAAGAGCAGTCAGAGGGCTGGAAACTGTGAGGAATGAGAAAAGCTTGAAAGGACCCAGGATTGTTTAGTCTAGGATAGAGCAAGCTGAGCAGGGAGGGGAATATGAAAAGCTTTCAAAGATGTAAAAGGCTGCTGTGAAAAGTGAGAGAATGATCTGTTGTTAGTCGCTACTAGGAATAAGATAACAAGTCATGGGCTGAGCAAGGAAATTTAGTCATTGGGGAAAACTTACATAAGTGAAAGGCTGATGAAGTACTGAAACCTCCAGTGCGTGTGAGATCAGTGTCAGGAGGCCTTCGGAGCACCCATCTCTGGGTGGGTGGCAGAGGAACTCAACTTGCTTTGGCTTTCAGGACACACTACGAGACCTTTGTAGCCCTGTTTTCCTATTGCTTGAAGATTATTTCGTAAAGCTTGTGATGAAGTCTCCCTCTTTGGAGGCAGGTGCGCATTTGCCAGATGCTGCCAACTTTCATGTTACAAGACAGCAGGGATTACATGTGATGATGCCGCTTTATTGTTGGTATAGCAGCAATCCTCCAAGGTCCTGGTCAGGCTGCAGGCTCACACTGAGAAGGGAGGAAGCCTCTTTGTTGAGGACAGGAATACAGAGCGTGTTCACCTATGGTAGGACAGCAAGGGAGCCCTTGGCTTGCTGCTTGTCCCAGTGTGTGGCCGTACTGCACAGGCACAGTCCTTGTCCTGAAGACACTAGATGGGTGCAGGGGAATGCCCCCACCAAGGCAGAGCTCACCAGCACGTTAATTTGCTGGTTCAGGGGCTGATTTGGGCCATGCTTTTTAATCGTGGAAAGCGAGAGCGTGTCTTTGTGTCCTAAATAGGCAATTGTCCTGATTCTCATCCCCAGGATCCATTATGTCTTAGCAAATTACTTTCTCTCTTTTAAATGCCTTAGTGATTAAAGATGCCACAGCAGATACCCTTAATGAGTACAAAAAGGGTAATAATTCCTCTTGTTGGCACTGAATGCAATTAATCAGGCCCCTTTACTGGCTTTTTAAACAGATGAGGCCAAGCAAGTTTTTAATTGGACTTTAATGTCTCTCATTTACTTCATTTTGGCACAAGCATAGGAATTCCCACCCCCAGGTTTGCTGTTGGATTTATTCAGGGTGATGAAAGGCTCAGCGTGGAATGAAGACTCAGCAGCAGACTTGAACATGTCCTTCAGCCTGTGCCTGGCCCTGTCTCGTTGCCTGGCCCAGGCTTGGTCCTGCTGCAAACAGCACAGAATTGTCGAGGCAGGAGTAGAGCCAGATCACCCAGCCCAGGGCCCATCCCCAGCATGAGGATGACACTAGATATTAGCAGTATTTTTGGAGTAGTCATCAACACGAGGGTGCAGCATAGCCTGCCCTGTTTCGTTAGGCTCCCTTGCCTTGAGGGAACTGTTGACTTGCAAGTATTCTTGTGGCTATCTGGAAGCCCTTGATGGAGGTCCATATCCATAACAGAGACTCTGTAGCTTCAAACATGGGGTGAATTGTGTAATTTAAGGGATATTCCTGAGATGCATGGCCAAGAGGAGATACAGAGTCCTTGAGCACTGTTCCAGATGGATGTGTGCATGTAGACGTTATTAATTTATGCTAGGAATTACCACGGGAGAAAAGATGTGTGATAAGCGACCTTCATCTAGCCTGCTGCCCCTGCTCCCTGCTGTGAAGCCAGCACCGCCTCTGCTTCCACCTCTGGCCACAAACCATCTTGCCTTTGGTTCCCTTCCCTCGTGTATATCCTCCAGTGTGGTTTGGGGACAGCAGTTGCCTGTCAGCATGTCCCAGTTTGTGTTTCATGCAGGGATGTTGTGCAGCAGCCCAGCCTGGCCGATTGGCCCCTGTCCCAACTCAGCTCTTCCCCACCGGCAGCTGACAGCCCGAGGTTTAGCCAAAAAAGCATCAGTCTTGGCATGTGCAAGCCTGCTTCTGAGCCTGTTTGTCACTCTGCAGGGCAGACGTTCCTCTAACACCCAGGAGAGATCCTGAAATGGTTTCAAGTGGGTTTTCCAGGTGCATGCTGTGTCTTTTGCAGAGTCAGGCCGGTCTGTAGTACAGCTGTACAGTGGCTGGAGGCTCCCACCCACGGAAGAGTTGGTGGATGCAGGTGAGCTGTGAGTGTGCTTGAACAGGTGAGATGGCTCTCATGCCATCGGGGTTCTTTGCCCCAAAAACTGTTTTGGAGACATATAGGGGCAAGAGACAACACTCTCCATTTCTGCATCCCTGCTTCTCCTGCTTCAAAGGTGGGCAAATCTGTAAGCACAAGTGAGTCTGGAAAGTTAAGTGTATTCAGAGAAATGTGAATACCTTGTGTTAATTTAAACACCCTCTGCCTGCCAGGCTGGGGGGAGAGGAGCGTTGCCAGCTGGATCAGCCATAGCACTTCTCAAGATCTGTCTCAGAGCATCTTTACTTTGAGTCCTGTGCTAAAACCCCACGGTGTCCCAGTGCAGCATAAGGAACTGTCATGTATGAACACCAGGCTCTGCCGTCCAGGTGGCTGCTCAGCAGGGAATGCCACGGGGGATGCTTGCCCAATATTTTGTTTGGTTTTGCCTTCTTACTTGTCATATCTCCTCTCCTCCCACTCCCTCGCAACTTGAACACGCATCTGATACTGGGCTCAGTGGTTGTGCAAGGCTCACATGTAGTCCTCGATAGCCAGATGTAGGAACCGAATCTCTCCAATTTTATCTTGTGCTGAGAACATCTTTGCATGTTTTGACCCCTTGCATCACTTCCTGCTACCTGCAGATAGGGACGCTCGGAGCCATCATGTCTTGAAAAGTAAGGGAGAATTGGGGGCTGAGCAAAGATCAAGGCTTTATTGCATGATTGTGGTGTGAGGGCTGTAGACATCTTGATGAGACATTCAGGGATAAAGGTGAATAAAAGAGTATCCAGCTTGCTCTGTGTCCTCACAGGGTGAAAAGTGTGGGCTGCTGGCACGTTCTCCAGCGGTGGGCAGGGACTGAAAGAAATAAGAGGGCCAGGTCCTAGGACATTTCTGCTCATCTGGCTGGGCAGTATGAGGAGGGGCATGCAGCTTTGTTTGGTAGCTATGGAGCCTGCCAGGATGCCCTTAATCCACGGTTTGTACCCCAAATATATCTATGTCAGGAAGCTGCAACCCCAAGTGACCATGGCCAGCCATTCTTGCGTTGAGAATCTTCTGGCTGAGGCTTACAAAGATGTCATTTTCTTTGATTTAATTCCACATAAACTGTGGAATTATTTTCCTTCAAAGGCTTGTGAATTATGGAAGCATAAACCACGCTAATGATCCAATAAGGACAGCTTTGGATATGTTCCCAAGAATGGCTACCCCTGGGCAGGACTGTGCTTGAGGAGAACTGATGGAGAACAGTCTGTGGCACTCACCTGGCTGCCTCCCTTGCCCCTCCCCACTCCCCCCCAAGATTCCTCCATCTCTCAGGAACGAGAATCATTTCCTCTCTGGCTTCTTGCAGAGGCAGAAGCCCTGCAGACCTGAAGTTATCTCTGGAATGTGTGTAAACACCGAGTTCAACGGGATGCTGTTTGCCCCCCTCTCCTGCAGGGGTTTAAGAAGGGTTAATATGAGTTTGTTTTACGAGTTCCTAGCCCTGAGAATTGTCTTCCTCAGAGGGCGACCTGGCTGAGCCGAGTCCCTGTGTGTGCATTTCCCAGCATAAAGGGGAGATTTGGGGGCCCTGCCATGTGGGTGGGATTTTGGTCCTCTTACGAACAAGGAGATGAAAGACCGAGGTGGTCTTCCTGCTAAACAGGGACCTGGGAGATGATGTGGGATCACAGCACACGTGCACTGGGACTCAACGTGTTGCATGATGGTGTAACTAACGGGATTTAGGCGATCCTTGGACAGAAACATATTTTTGATCAGGAGAAGGGTGGGGGTTACACATGGTTCTGCTGCCCCCATCTTCAAACAGCGTTGAAAACGTAAGCAGGGAGACAAAACCTTAGAAATGACGTATGGGCTGGGACAAAGTGCATTTCAATGAGAGGCATAAAGAGCTCCATCTGTTTGTCAAAAAAAATAATTCAGATGTAAGTTCGTTGTGGTGTATGAGTACGTTACTAATGAGACCCGCCTGGGCACCAAAGTCCTCTTGGTTTTTGAATAAGCAGTGGCAACCAGAACCTAAAGCTGGACAGAATCAAGTTGAAAAACAGGCATGTTGATACCAACGAAATGGTTAATTCCTAGATGTGTTGTCAGTGCTGGTGATGCACTGATGCTGGATCCCTTCCAGAAAACAACACTTTAAACCGAAGACAAAGAACCAGGCTTAGCACGGAGGTGATCAGTGGAATGGCTTGGCCTGATATGTACAAGGGGTCAAACTAGATGATTTAATGATCTCTTTTGGCCTGAAAGCTTTCTGTTCTCTTAAGAAGACAGATGAAAAAGCCCTTTCACAAAAAGCAAGCACTTGAGATATGTGTGTAATGAACTCTGCTGCTTCCAGGGGAACGGCGGAGCAGGATCTGCAGGAAGCGTGACCTTGCCGCCTGCAGGCTGCCTGAAGTTGGTGGCCATCTGTTTAGTGGTGGTGGCTCACCACCATAAAGGCCACCACTCTTACACGTGACGTTTCTCAGCTCCGTTTTTAATTGCTAACTGATGCTGTCTCTCTGCATTTAAGTAACATTTGCTCCCTTATCTCCATCAGGGTGAGGAGGCCAAGCGGTATGAGCACTCTTCTGGGGAAGATTGGCTCCAAAAAGCAGAAGATGAGCACACTGGAGAAATCTAAACTGGACTGGGAGAACTTCAAGGAGGAGGAGGGGATTGTGGAGGAGCTGGCAATCCATAACCGAGGGAAAGACGGGTAAGAAGGACTTCACCTAATAGTAGTCAAGCATTTCCCACCACTTCCTATACATGTAGGAGCCCCATCACTTGCTACAGAGAGTTCAGCAAACCCATGGGACTTCTTAAGGTTTTATCCTAGGGATACATAAAACCAGTAGCTGCGCTAGGTATCACAGGGAGACAGGTAAGTCTGCAAGCACCTATCTCTCTCTGCTAACAACCTCGTGAGTTCTTCAAGTCCAGCTAAAGTAGAGTCTGGCTGTGCTTTATGTTCTCTCCTGCCAGTGGCACAGATGCAGCGTGAACCGGTCTAATGCAGCACTCCCATGAGGAAACACAATTGCCTTTGTCCTGTTTTCTTTAAAAAAAAAAAAAGAAAGAAAGAAAAAAAAAAAGAAAGGAGGTATGGTTTTTGTTCCGTTCTTCAAATGACATGTTCCAGCTGCATCTGTCGTCCCTTCTCCTGCGTAAAGATGTATGCAAACCCAGAACAGCTGGCAAGGTGCGTTAAAGATTATGGCAGCACTGGGCGTTGGTTGTGTGCATCAAGCAATGTTCACTCCGATGAAGTTAATGGAAGTATCGTAAAAGTAAATGGCAACGCTGTAAATAAAACAAAGTTAATAACATGCACTGCAGGGAAGGATAATAAGATCAGAAGCGGCATTTCCACTCAAGTGCTTTGCTAAGCTCTGGGAAAACGTAACCGGCTTACTGGACAGCTCATAAAATGTATTTTTATTGTAAGCTGTTCTTTTAGTCTTTGGTAAAAACTCAGAGCTTCTGCATTCCAACAGATTGGATTTTGTATTTCAAATAGATATTTTATAACTGGTGGGTTTTTTCAGTTTGGCCTTGTACCCTTCCACAGCACCCCTTCTCCATCAGATCTGCCCTGATCTGTTTCTGGACACTTGCTCTTGAAGAAGTAGAGCAATTCAGTAGGAGTGCCGGAGGGGCACAGGGCGTTCCTCTGAGATCCTTGAAATCCAGGGAGGTGAGCAATTTACATTGCTTACAGGTGTGGCAGAGCACGTGTGCACCAAATCATCGCTGATGCCACCTGCAGCATGGTGAATGTCATGGTCAGAGCCCTGTACGTGAGAGTCTCCATTGAAATGGCCCGTGCCAGGAATCTGGAAGCAGAGCCAGGCTGTGTACCAGGCTCTGTCTGAGAAGGAGGAGGAGGAGGAGGGTGAGCCCCATCAGGAGCTGCAGGCTGCTTTGGGAGAACCCACCTCCAGGGAAGGGTCCTGTTTCTGTCTGTGGCACCTGGCTGGCTTGTCCCGATGGGATGTGGAGTGAGAATTTGCCCTACACAGACATCTGAGCAGCTGCCAAGTATGTTAACAGCTTTGGGCTTTCACTGCTCTGGACTGGGCTGGTGGTGGTAGTACCACCATTAAAAGCCAGACCATCTCCTGCTGATTGCTAGGACACACTGTTTCTTTGCACAGTCAGTGGAATCAGCCTGAATCAGGGTCCATCACTCTCAGCTGGACTGTACACACCCCAAACAGGCCAGGCTGCCTTCCATGAGCGTTTTGTGGCATCACTTGCTTGTTCAAACCTAGTATGTCAACCTTTCTTGGCCAGTGCTGTTTCCTTTCCCACCCTATACAAGCAGGACAGCTCACTCTTGATGCCTGGCAAACCTTTCCGGAGATGCTAATGTAATGGTCCTTGAAGGCTGAAAAACAGATCAGCACATTGAGAAGATGAGCAAAGCAGAGCAGCAATTTTAAGAGCATCTGTAAGCTTGGACAGCTTTGGGTTTTTCTGCCTGTCACATCCCAGGCTAGAAAGTCCACTGGGCAAGCTGTTTTTGTCCTTAAATAAATGAGAAACGTGGTGCGATGATGACTTGAGACACTCCTTACAAATCTGTTTGTGCTAGTCAGACATGCAGTGTGAGGGGATCAACCGAGTATCTGCTCGCTGTGAATTACTTCCACCTTCAAGGTAAAGGAAGGGAGAATGGAGGAGCACCAATGGATGCGCAGCCCACTGCATTTCAGTTTACAGGCCACCTGTAAGTGTTCATGGTGTGAAGTGTGCTGCACCATTACAGAGCAGCCAGCCTGCTCGGGGGCAGATCACACAGACACAGCAGGGGCCGGCTTCAGGTCGTTTTGCAGGAGCCTGTTGTCCTTTCCGCAGCTGCCTCTTCTCCTTTAATAATGTAGGCTCTGCTCACCCTTCAGTGGACAATCATTTACACATCTCTATAAAAATTGTAATGAGTGGTTGTTAACCCTTCAACCCAGGCAGGAGGGAGCGGGGGGCACTCCCTTTATCCCTGGTGCTGACGTGCGTTAGAAACCTCTGGTCCCCGCATGTCCTGCTTTGTAATTGTAAATGTCTGCCTGATGAGGAGAGCCACAATGTGCTCCTGGAAGCATCTGCCCAATGCCACATATGCCTGCGCACTACAGAGATGGTCCATGTGTGTCTCGAGGAAGGCAGGAGGAATTTCTTTTTGCTCAGAAGGGAAGGCAGGTTGAATTTCTCTTTTTTGCAGTAACCTTGCGGAAGTTGCTGTTCACAGTCCAGAGTTCCTCGTGCCTTGGATCTCCCCAGCCCTTCGCTGGCAGCGATATGTGCTCAGCCAGTGCGCTGGTGTCCAGCTGAGCAATGGGGCCCTGGCATCTTTTTTCTGCTGATGCCGGTTATCAGCCAGCTGCAGCTTGGCCCTGGGATTCCCGAGGCAGAGGGGACGCATGCTGCCCCATGGCTGTGTCCACCTTTGCCTCTGATTTTCCGCCTCTCCTATCACCAGCCCCAGACGGCAATCTGCATTTCCCCAGCAGCAGGATCTGGGCTTCTGCAGCCTGGTTGTGTCAGATCCTGAGGGCTTGTCCTGGATTTGACAGGAGGGGTTGAAGTAAGGAGTGGAGGCAGCTATCCCCTTTACTGTTGATCTCTCTGATGTGCTTTATAAATGGAAAGGTGTAGTGGCCTCTTAATTGGGCCACCTTTGTAGGGCAGGCCCGGTGGGGGAGCAGCCCCGCTCTGGGTGCCGGGCTGGCCCTGTGCGCTCATGCACTGGGTGACTACTGGTGACGGGCAGGGGACAGGCAGCACCAATGAAATCCTCCCAAGAGCAGTTCACAGCTGCCCTCGTTAGCAGAGACAGTCTCTTCTCCCAACAAATGTACCGTCCTCTGCTGTGGATCACAGCTGCCCTGTTTCCGCACGGGCTGATAATTTACAGGAGGGTATTGATTCAGGTAGCAAAGGTTATTTAGACAAGCACAGGACAGGTGTTTGTGCCTTGCTTGTGCACTTTGCACTGCATTTTGGCAGCACCGTGCTATCGGCTGCACAGGGCCAGGTTGGGAGCCAGAGCCGGAGCCAGAGCCGCAGCTTGGGCGCACGGTTTGGGGGGCAGGGGGGCTTGTGCTGACCCTGCAGACCTGCTACTTCCCTGCTTGTGTCCATCAGCACCTCCAGCCTCCATGTGCATGCAGTACAAGCCAGCCGGGCTTGTTCCCAGGCTGCTTGCCCCATAAACCCCAGCGTATGCACGGGTAGTGCCTTCTGGGGTCTGCTCTGGCCCCTGCGGCATTTTTCTGTGGCTGGCCAAGGACAACGCCATAGGGTAACGTCATGGTTCCTCCTCCATGCAGAGCCGCTGGCTGCGGCCGTGAGACCACATTCCTGGCTCATGATCCATATCGATCCCCCAGGAGCCAGTGCCTGCCCGTAGGAGAGGGGAGGAGGAGGAGGAGGAAGGCACTGACCCCTTGCTGGGGTTGGGAGAAAGGATTCGCAGAGCGGCTGAAGGAGCTTCAAATTCAGTAGCTCAGGCTGTTGCTGCCCAAGCAGTTGGGGTGTTCCCAGGCTAATGGCGGTAACCCCTGTCCCTTGCCTTCCCACCCATGGTTGCGGCTGGTGTTCAGCAGCAGAGGGGGGGGACAGCCACACACCCAGCAATATGACACACTGTAATATACAATGTGACTCCCCCCCGACTTCCTTCCCATGGCCTCTCCGAGCCCGGCCCTGGGAGCTGGTCACCTCCCTGCTTGCTGGGATGAAGGGAAGCGACACTCCCCTGCCTGCCTTTCCTGAGCCAGCGTGGGGAGGGGGCCTTGTCGCACAGCCCTCCTCTGACAGTGAGAGGCAGGGGGCCAGAAAAATACCTCCTCACAGCCAGCACATTGTCTGCGTTATGCCGCGTTGGGCCCCTGCCCCTCGCAGCCGGCGGAGATGAGCTGACCCAGTTGTGTCAGCGTGAGACGGGCTCAGGCTGCGATGGGAATAGAGTGGCAGCAGGGATGCGCGGCGCTGTTCATCCGCTCGGGGGAATCACTCACTGAAATGACTTTGGATTAATTCATTTCCAGTGACGACTGGGTGGGCAGGAGTGTCAGGGCTGTCCCTTGCAGCAAGGGCGAAGGCACCCTGGTGCTGGGAGCACATTCAGTGCTGGTTCAATAGTTGTAGCATAAAGTAGAGACCTTGTCACCAAAGGCAGCAGAGCCCCTCTGTGCTAGAGGGACCACAGCTGGTGGTGGGAGGGGGCCTTAACCTTCCCGTGCGGTTGGGTCTTGGGCACCTTTATGCACGCTGCCAGCCACCCAGGAGCCTGGAAAACACGCAGAGCCTATGGTGCTCATCTTTCCTGTAGCCTGCGGTCTTGCTTTCAAGCAATGGGCTTTTCTGGTTAGCAGGCACCAGCTACGGTGCAGGAAAAGCAGTGACCGGCAGAGCGCCGAACGCAGTGGCTTGTGCGTCTTGTGCCGGTGCCGAGCGTAACGACCTTGTCATGACAGCCGAGTGTTTGCCACCCTGGAACAAATGCAAAACAATTGTGATGATTCAATTACAGCTCCTGTTTTGAATTGCAATTTCGCTCCCTCTGTAGGTTAATTAGTAGCACAGCCCCGGGCTATCTGTGGCAAGGGTTTGCAGCAAAGTACATTAAAATTCAGCTGCATGCCATTAATGAGTGGCAAGGTGCTTTTCCAGGCATAGGCGTGCTTGCCTTCTTCCTTGAAGCACTCAGGTGCCTCGCTGAGAGGGAGAAGTAAATACTCAGCGGTGGTTAGGAACTTGGTCTGTGGCTGGGAAACCCCTGACCTGAATTCCTGAGCTGCTGCAGGCTTGCTGGATGATGCTGTTTGTGTCCCTCATGCTCCCTGTGCCTCTTATCAGCTTGTATCGTGGGTTGTGCTGCTGTCTGGGTTTGAGATGCTTTGCTGGGGGGTGCCTGGGCAGCGTCACCTGGGCAGGCAGGGAGGAGTGTCAGAGCTGCCTCTCCTGCCAAGGACCTGCCCTGAGCCTGTTCAAGTTGTATGTGAAGGTCATTTCTCAGCCATAAGAGAAGAGCTGGAACCAGAAGCAGCCAGCCCGTATCTCCAGCCTGCAGGGACACTTCACCCCAGACCTCTGTGAGTCCCCCAGGAGACACCCAGCACGCCACAGAGCAGTTTTGGTGTCCATAGGAGATGCTCAGTGCAGTGATCAGCTCATGGAGAGAGAGGAAGGGAGGCTGCTCATCCCTTCAGGTCAGCTTTGCCCCGGGCTGGGGACAGCACTGGCTGCTACGGGCACTGCTTACAGCCTCTGCCTCTCTGCCTCCCTGCAGGTACATCGAGAGGAAAGCATTCCTGGAGCGCGTGGATCACAGGCAGTTTGAAATCGAACGTGACATCAGACTGAGCAGGATGAAGCCCTGATGTGCCGGGGGTGGCCACGGGGGACCCTGCTCCCTTCTGTGCCTGAGCACTGGCTGGGGGCTGCCAGCCACCGCCCGACCACCAAGCACGGAAACCGTTCTCTACCCAAGACTCAGCCTGTATGTCTCAATGTACAGGTTTTTCCTTTTACTGTAATAGTTTGGGGAGGGTATTTGTCAGTGGGCAGGGGGCTCTTCGAGGGTTAAATGGCCCAGCAGGTGACAGAAGGGACTGGTGTGATTCTGGCAGGCAGCTTTCCAAGGAGAAGAGATGGTGGCACCCATCCTTTGCCAACCCCAGGTGCTTCTGGCAGCAGGAGGAGCCGCCAAAGCTGGGAGAGTGCTGGAGCCTGGGTTAAGGCTCGGCTGGCATTTTTGGTTGTGAGAACGGAGCTGCAGGAAGGTTTTGTGGCTGCTGTGCGTGTGCAAGCTGTGGGCTGGAGCCCTTCTCCCCACTCTGCCAGCCCCTCAGTGCTCCTTGCCCCTCTGCGTTGTGCTCTTGCCCAGACAAAGCTGAACTGTCTGTACTTGTTTGTGGGGTCTGATGATGCTGGGGGGGGGTTTAGGCAAGCCGATGAAGAAATCCTTCCTTGTTCGTGCTCTCAAGAAGATGGGAGCAGCTGCAGCAGGCAGGACAGGCCAGGATCTGAGTGTTCACGTGAATAAAGTATTCCATCCCAATGCTCTGGCATGCTGGCAGCGTCGTTTATGCGGGAAGCAGAGGACAAAGAAATTAAGGGTCACACACAGTAAGGAGTGTCTGACTGTGATTGTGAAAATCCGTGCTCAGAGGTGCCCGGTGTCTGTCTTGATAGCAGCCTAAAGTCAGAGCAAGTGCTTGGATCGCTTTCCCTCTGCAGTACTGGGGCTGGCAGTGGGATTAAATCCAGGATTGGGGGGCGAAGGGGACAATGTAGTCCTCCTGTAGCAGTGCTACAGGAGTAAGGAAACCCACCCAAGGCATGACCATGCAGGGACATTCAGCAAAATAAGCTGCCTGGGAGGGCAGACCAAGGCGCCTGGGCGTGGAACAAGCGTCCGGAGCTGGAGGCCAGCAACGCACCATCATCTCAGCTGTCCTTTCTTGTCTGGTGTTGACCAAGTTCAGCAGCTCCTGATGTTTGGCCTGTGCACGTCCTCAGAGTAGAAGTGCTTACTGGCTTTTCCCCACGGGGTGCTCTGAGCCTGCTCGGTGGCACACAAGCCAGAAAGCGGCACAAGCCCCAACCTTCCTGCTAACGGGGCAAGCGATGCTGCCACTGGCCCCTTGCCCACAGCTCTGAGCGCAGTCTCAGCTTTGGACTCACGTGTCAGCTGCTGAGTCAGCCCTTGCTCTGTGGCCGTGTTGCGGGATAGACGAGAACAAAACACCACGTGCTCAGGGGGAGCTGCAGCCTTTGGTGCCTTGTTATGTACAGAATCAGCTGTTATGGACCTGCTTAAACGAGCCTGAAATTGGACAGAAACAGAACAACAGGGGTGATGACATGTTTTCATCTCCAAACGCTTCCAAGCCAGTTGCTGCTTTGGCTTTGGTTGCAAAAACAACTGGAGTCCCTGGCCAGGGCACTGTTGTGGGGAGGTTTCAGCTCAGGACTCCTGGCTGGCAGTGAGCAGCCCTGGGCTGGACCTCGGAGGGGGCTGCGGTGTAAGGCAGGTGGTGCTCTGGTAGCTGGGCTGCTGTCCTGCTCAGGGTGGTAGTGCAGAACCATCTCTGGCCCCCTCTCTCCTCCCACGTGCTGGGCCGGGGAGGCAGCCAGGTCCTGCCCTGCTTGCAGGGTCCCTCCCAGCAGGGACCTCAAGGCAACCCAGTCTTGTTTTGCAGTAGATCCTCGCTGACGGCGAGATGCACGAGCAGCAGCTCAGCCAGGGCGGCCGCAAGTGGGGCTGGAGGGCTGGGCCCGCCCTAAGCGCTGAGCAGGCAGCAGGGGAAACGATTTGCCTTTTGCTGCACTTTGCTGGGGGTGAGGAGGAGAGGAGGGGATATTGTGGATCTTCTCTGCCCTGTGTCCCCTCACGACTGTGGTCCTGGGGCCTCGCACGCTGGATGGAGGTGGGGAAGGGTCCTGTCACCCCCACACAGGCTGGGTCGCTGTGGCATCTGGCTCTCCAGGGACTGCCGTCTGAAATCTTGGCCGCAGCACAGTCATCCAGGCTGCTGCTGGGTGCCGCCTGCTGTGTCGGGCCTCCAGTGCAGCTGCATTGGTGTGAAAAGCAGGTTAGAAATGGAAGATAATTCTGTGTGTTGTAGCGTGAGCGAGAGCTGATGCAACAGGGGAACCTTTGGAGATCCCAAAGGCCAGAGGCACCAAACCCAGCCCTGCTCCTAAAAGCCTTGAAGAGCTCCAGGCTATGTCCAGAGCAAGCCCTGCAGCAGCATTGGGTTCTGGATGGCTTGGGGAGATGGCTTTGGATTTACACGCACGCTAATGGTGTGTTAGTGGGATCTGGCCAGCGCAGCCTCCACTGGCACACTGGTAAACTGGGAAAATCAGTGACCCCCTGTTTACGGGATCCTGCCTGGCAGCCCCAGCTCTGCTCTCCACAAACTCTCCAGCCTCTCTTCTCTGGGGTTTCTCCTTCAGCTGAGCAAGCGTGGAAAATTTTGAAATCTTGGAAGCAACCTGACCTGCTGGAAAAGTGCAGTTTAACAGTGGTGGCCGAGAGCCTCGGCTCCCCTCTCCACTGGGTTCCCCGGCTCGTGGCAGCATGGTGTGCCCGGCTTAGCTCGAGGACACCGGGCTGCGGTGCCAGCTCCCGGCCCAGCAAGCTGGGACAGGCTTGGCAGGACGGCCGGGAGGCAGCTTCCAGCCTGGGGCTGATTCCTGGCTTCCACCATGCGCACTTCCAAGCGTCCCACGTTTTTGCTTGGTTGGATCATGTATTCCTCGCCTCTCTTTCCTGAAGACGAGGAGTGATTTACAGGTCTCCAGAAAACACAGCTTGGCTGCTTAAGAAGGAAAAAAAAACAAAACCCCAAACCCCCCTCCGCTTGCTATTTCCATTGCCCAGCTGCCTTCCCACAAAGGGGAGGTGGCCCCAGCACCCACCAGCCCTCGACTTCCCCATCAGCCCTGAGCTTTCTGGAAGAAGCAAATCTCCCAGGACATGCAAGTCCCTCCTTTAAGATGTTCCCACCTTGAGCCATCTTCTCTGGGAAGCTCATGTATCCTCCGTGGGTCAGGACCCACTCGGGGCATTTGTTTGGGATAATTTTGGCCCTGCAAGGAGTCCCTCATGGCCCGAGCATCACCTCGCCCCGAGGAGCTCCCCCTTCCTTGGCTGCCTGAAGGGGCCCCTTGTGTGGCTGGTCCCCGAACAAGGCAGCGATTGTGTCTGTGTGCCCCAACAGTCAGGGCTTCTGCCACTGCGGCCACGCTCCGGAGCTGTGGTAAAACCGGTTACATCCAACCCGCGCCCACGGGCTCACCTTTATTGAGCTGTTCGGTGGGGTTTGGGGAGGCCGCCCAGGGGAGGCTGTTACTGGGTCACGGGAATCACGGACAGGGAGGTAATGCCATGCATTTAAAGCTGCTTCAGTGATAGGGATGCGGGAATAAATGTCCAGCTCTCGGCAAAGGAGGAGGTTGAGAGCTGGCTGCCGAGGGGTTGCATCCTGTGTGCCCCCACCAGGCTATCCCAAGGACTGTAATGGGATTCGGGGCCGGCCGAGCCACCATGGGGCAAAGCGTGATGGTGTGCCATGCCACAGCTGTCAGGCAGGAGAATAAGGGAGCAGAGCGTGGGGCTGGCCCCGGGAGGCATCTCCCCGCAGCTGCGGCAGCAGTTCCTTGTGAGGACCGGGGCTGGGAAGGGCTGATACCCGGGAGGTGATGCTGGGGGCACCTCATCCTCTTCTCTAAGCTGCTGTTTTCAGCCTCTCCCACCTTTTTCCCTCACAGCAATGTCCCATCGGGCAGCAGAGCAGGGTTTCTGGCTGCGGTGGGTTCAGGACTAATAGGGAGTAACGGGGTGGCTTGCAGGTCTCCTACCCCATCTGAGCGAGGGTCCCCACCCCGGGGCATCCTCGCGCCAATGGTGGGTGCTGGCACCAGCGTTTGAAGTTCAGCTGGCGGTGGTGGCACAGCCAGCCCTTCCCACTCCCAGCGGCCAGCCCCGGCCGGGGGCGAGGATCAGCGCCAGCCCTCGCCGGGGGATGAATGGGGATATGAACAGAGCCGCTACTGTTGGGGCAGCCTCAGGCCTGTGCTCCGCCTCAGCTTTTCTGGAGATGAGGGGGTGCCCCACCATCCTGCTCTCCGGAAGGGTGAGCGGTCTCCCCCTCCATCTCCTCTCTGCAGCTAAAAACCGACCCAGCGCCACAGAAAGGCATGGGGATAAATCCTTGTTGTGATCCTGTTGGGTCCCGTGATATTACAAGCCAAGAGAAATGTCCTCATTATTTCCAGAATATTGAAGTCTAATAAATCCCGTCCTGCCTTACAGGATTTATTTCTCCGTTCATTGCTAGGAGACTCAGTCCCGTGTAATCCTATTGCTGCTCCAGGAGATGGGAGGCGGCTTTCCGAAGCACAGCCCTGGCAGGGCTGCAGGCAGGTGCTGCGGGCAGGAGCAGGCAGCCCCATCCGCTGGTCCCTGCTGGGGGTGGCTCCAGCCCTACAAGTGTCCCAGTGCCAGCCCCTTTCCCGAAATGTCCCACTGTCCCAGAGCTGTGCCCCTGCGTGTGTTCACCAAAACGTATCCTGTTCGACTGTTGGGGCATGACGGGGCCAACAGGGCATTAATCGGCAATTAGCCAATTAACATGGCATGGCACAGCCTGTTCCCCCGGCCCCGTGCACATCCACCGTGCTCCCCCAAACCCCCCCTTTGGGGTCCTCTGACACCTTCCCATACCAGGACCCAGCGGGAAAAGCCAGGCCCAGCACAGACAGTCCCCCGCAGACGTGGCAGCAGCCTGGCCGGTGCGGAGCCGGCCATGCCTGGCTCGCCGGACGCCGAGGACTCTCCCCAAGACAATGACGGACACATGAATATGGCTGGATATTTTGCCGCCAAAGTGTTTTCCATAGCAACCGTTGCTGGGGCAACTGCATCCTGAGCAACATGCATCCTGAAACACCCAGTCTGCCGGAGCTGGAGCCAGTGAAGAACCACGGTGCAGAACCAGTGGGGCCTCGCAGTATCCCACTGCCAGCAGCACAGGGATGCTGCGCTGATCCGGCTGCGCTGATCTGGTTCTGAGCATCCCAAGCGCTGCAGGGCCCCTGTAACGTTCCACTTTTGATCTTCTTTTTGGCATTTCGTTTCCTTAGAGGTAGGAGAAGCCGAAAGGAGACCTGTTGGTGCCTGTCGCCCCCCCGGGCGCTTGGCTGTGGACGCAGCGGGGTGCGGGAGCCGTTGCCAGCTCAGGGCACTCAGCAGATGCAAGCAGCAATTTTGGCTCCGATGCACTGAAAATGGCTGGGATCGAGTATCAACGGGGGATCTGAGTGTCGCCACGGGGAGCAGGAAAAATAAAATCCCTGCTGCCTTTAAGCACCGAAGTGGGGAGCTTGCGGCCCCTTGGCACCTGCTCAAAGCCGTGCGGTGGCAGGTTCACCCTGGGGACACCCCGGGGATCCCAGGAGAGATCCTCGCTGCTGGCCGGGTGGGCCCTCGCTGGGCTCGGGGTCTCTGAAGCAAACATACCGTGGCCTCATGGGACTGGCTGTGGTGGC